TACGAATCTAGGAAAATTGAAGTGGAATGCATAAACATCAATATCCTAGGAATTAGTGAGCTGAAACAGACTGGTATTGGCCATTTTGAATCAGACAATCATATGGTCTACTATGCCGGGAATGACAACTTGAAGAGGAACGGCATTGCATTAATCATCAAAAAGAACATTTCAAGATCTATCCTGAAGTACAATGCTGTCAGTGACAGGATAATATCTCTAAGCCTACAAGGAAGACCAGTTAATACAACCGCTATGCAAATTTACGCACCAACCACTAAGGCCAAAGATGAAGAAATTGAAGATTTTTACCAGATTCTGCAGTCTGAAATTGATCGAAGATGCACTGATAATTACTGACGATTGGAACGCGAAAGTTGGAAACAAAGAAGAAGGATCAGTCATTGGAAAATATGGCCTAGGTGACAGAAATGCTGTCACATAATTGAATTTTGCAAGACCAATGACTTCTTCATTGCAAATACCTTTTTTCCCCCAACATAAATGGGAACTATACGCCAGATGGAATACACAGGAATAAAATTGACTACATCTGTGGAAAGAGACGATGGAAAAGCTCCATATCATCAGTCAGAACAAGGCCAGGGGCCAACTGTGTATCAGGCCATCAATTACTCATATGCAAGTTCAAGTTGAAACAGAAGAAAATTAGAACAAGTCCATGAGAGTCGAAGTACAACCTTGAGTATATTCCACCTGAATTTAGAGACTATCTCAAAAATAGATTTGACATGTTGAACACTAATGATCAAAGACCAGACCAGTTGTGGAATGATATCAAGAACATCATACATGAAGAAAGCAGGAGGTCATTAAAAAGCCAAGAGAGAAAGGAAAGACCTAAATGGATGTCAGACGAGACTCTGAAACTTGCTCTTGAACGTCAAGTAGCTAAAGCAAAAGGAAAAAATGATGAAATAAAAGAGGTGAACAGAAGATTTCAAAGGGTGGCTCAAGAAGACAAAGTAAAATATTGTCATGAAATGTGGAAAGACCCGGAGATAGAAAACCAAAAGGAAAGAACACGATCAGTATTTCTCAAGCTGAGAGAACTGAAGAAAAAATTCAAGCCTCGAGTTTCAATACTGAAGGATTCTACGTTGAAAATATTAAACGACGAAGGAAGCATCAAAAGAAGATGGAAGGAATACACAGAGTCATTATACCAAAAAGAATTCGTCAACGTTCAGTCATTTCAGGATGTAACATATTATCAGGAATCCATGGTACTGAAGGAAGAAGTTCAAGCTGCACTGAAGACATTGGCGAAAAACAGGCTCTGGGAATCGACAGAATACCAATTGAGATGTTTCAACAAACGGATGCAGCACTGGAAGTGCTCACTCGTCTATGCCAAGAAATTTGGAAGACAGCTACCTGGCCAACTGACTGGAAGAGATCCATATTTATGCCTAGTCCCAAGAAAGGTGATCCAACTGAATTCGGAAATTATTGAACAATATCATTAATATCACATGCAAGCAAAATTTTACTGAAGATCATTCAAAACTGGCTGCAGCAGTAAATCCACAGGGAACTGCCAGAAATTCAAGCCAGACTGAGACGAGGACATGGAACCAGGGGTACCATTGCTGATGTCAGATGGATCTTGGCTGAAAGCAGAGAATACCAGAAAGATGTTCACCTGTGTTTTATTGACTATGCTAAGGCATTCAACTGTGTGGATCATAACACATTATAGATAACATTGCGAAGAATGGGATTTCCAGAACACTTAATTATGCTCATGAGGAAGCTGTACATGGATCAAGAGGCAGTCGTTTGAACAGAACAAGGGGATGCTGAGTGGTTTAAAGTCAGGAAAAGTGTGCATCAGGGTTGTATCCTTTCACCATATCTATTCAATCTGTATGCTGCACAAATAATCCGAGAAGCTGGACTATATGAAGAAGAACAGGGCATCAGGATTGGAGGGAGACTCATTAACAACCTGCATTATGCAGATGACACAGCTTTGCTAGCTGAAAGTGAAGAGAACTTGAAGCCCTTACTGATGAAGATCAAAGACCACAGTTTTCCGTATGGATTACACCTCAACATAAAGAAAACAAAAAGCCTCACAACTGGCCCAAAAAGCAACATCATGAAAAACGGAGGAAAGATTGAGGTTGTCAAGGATTTCATTTTACATGGATCCACAATCAACACCCATGGAAGCAGCAGTCAAGAAATCAAAAGATGCATTATATTGGGCAAATCTGCTGCAAGAGATCTCTTTAAAATGTTAAAAAGCGTTAGAAAAAGCAAAGATGGCACCTTAAGGACTAAGGTGAGCCTGACCCAAGCCATGGTGTTTTCAATCAGGTCATGTGCATGTGAAAGCTGGACAATGAATAAGGAAGACCAAAGAAGAACTGATGCCTTTGAACTGTGGTGTTGGTGAAGAATATTGAATAAACCACGGACTGCCAAAAGAACAAACAAATCTGTCTTGAAAGAACTACAGCCAGAATGCTCCTTAGAAGCAAAGATGGCGAGACTATGTCTCACATACTTTGGACATGTTATCAGGAGGGATCAGTCCCTAGAGAAGGACATCATGCTTGGTAAAGTAGAGGGTCAGAGAAAAAGATGAAGACCCTGAATGAGATGGGTTGACACAGTGGCTGCAACAACGGCCCCAAGCAAACAACAATTATGAGGATGGCGCAGGACCGGGTCGTGTTTTGTTCTGTTGTGCATAGAGTCGCTATGAGTCGGAAGTGACTGGCCGGCACCTAATAACAACAACAACAACAACACCATGGGTCAGAATTGACTCAAGGGAACCTAACAACAATTTCCTGAGGACAATTTTACATAAACATCTTTCTGAAGGACATTTTTGTCATTTTCTTTCCGGAACATTATCATTTGCTTAACTATAAACTATAACTTTGTCATAAGAACACAACAATTTTATCATAGTCTTAACTAAGCATAACCACATACTTGTGACAGTAACTAACCACATGTGCCTGGGAAGCCTGGACAGGTTATCTTTTTGTCTTAAGTGCAACACTCAATGAAACTCTCTTTTATTTATCTCTGAAGGTAGATGACCTGCCTTCATCCACACTCAGGCAAGGAGCGCAGACTGTGGGCCTCAGACTGAGGCCAAGATTTCAGGTGGTTAACAGCTGTCTCACACTTATCAAGTCACTCTCCTGTCCCAAAAGGTGTTTCACTGTGTGTCCCAATAAGAGAGAGGAAGTGGTTTGGTTTGGTTTTAGATGCTGTTTAAAGGAAAGTTAGAGAAGCGAAAAGAAAATTAACTGAATACAAGCAGTGAAAAAGTTGTGGGGGAAAAAAGGGGGAAGAAAGAAAAAGAGTTGTTTGAGGGAGGAGGAGGAATGGAGGAGTGCGGAAGTGGGTTCCAGAATCTGGAACAATTTTCCATGTGGACTTTTTAACTTCCCAGGGTTCTCTTCGAGCAGTTCTTTCCAAATGTTTCTTTCATCCGTAGAGTATGCAGTTTCTGTTTTGCCCAAGTCTAAGTCTACCGGGTCTGGCCTCCAGGGGCCGTCTCTTTCAGCTCCACATCTGTTGTCTGGAATGATGTATTGCAAATCCACCCTCCTTTGCCTCTCTCCCAGAGGCAGAGCACACTGCCCACACTACCCGGGTAGGGGAAACTTCAAGTCGGTTTGGCATTTATTGGGCTAGGAGTGGGCGCCCTCCGCGCGCTATGCGGAGCGGTCGGCAGGTGGCGCCTAGCGGCGAGCGCGTTTCCAGCGAGGTCTGGGCCAGGTAGACTGCAAGGGGTGGAGGTAACGAGCAGCGGCCAGTGGTGACCGCCGCCTTCCCCCGCCCCCTCCTCGCAGCGCTCGCTACACGCGTGCCAGAAAGAGCGCGCGAGCGGTGGGACCAGCTGAGCTCTGAGCACAGGCACCGCTGCCAGCTGCTCTGCGAAGTGCCGGAGCGTCCTCGCCGCGCTCAGTCCGAGGACGGCCACTATGGAGGCGCAGGCACAAGGTGAGTGGGTGCCGATTGACTCGAGGGGCAGGTCCGGGAACGCGCACAAGGAAGCTGTTCCTGCATCTCCTAACTTTGCTCTTGGACAGAGAGGGTTGGTGCCACCTCCACAAGTCCAGAACTCGGTTCCTACAGGAACCTTCGGGGTAATTCCTGCTCCCCAAACCCAGGGTTTGCTGTGGGGCGGGGGATAAGCAAAGGAGACGTTAAATGGAGCTATCCCTCAGCAAGAAATGAGCCCGTGGAATGTTCTACCCGTTTCCTCAGCCATTTGATCCCCGCTTCTCGAACCTCGCGGGTGCCCAAAGGACCTGTTGTTGTGCAGGGTCTGGAATCAGCGTTGGTTCCCTTTTCCTCGGAGGAGTGGGAAGGGAGCGCGACTCCTCTCGCCCTGGGCCGTGGGCTTGCGCCCGTCAGTTCCTAAGCTGAGTAGAGAGAGGGTCGCGCTCGGAGGTGGTGGCTTTTCGGAGACCTGGGTCTCCCGCTACGCGAAGGGCTTCCCGCGCGGGGACCGGCCTTCCCAAGCCAGGTGGGCGTTACTGGCCTGCCTGACCCCCAGTAGACCGACACGTGTGTCCGGATTTCCCACGATCGGGGAGCGACCTCTGCCTCCCGCATCGCGCGGGGTCCCTCGGCAGAGGTCAGGCCGCCCTGCTACTGCTATCGGTTACTGTGGCCACCCCCTGGAGGAGCCGCAGCGCCTTCACGAAGGGTAGCCTCGTATTTTGGGGTCACATGTGAACCATAGTTGGGGAATCCCGATGGAATCGTGCAAGAATGGGAATAAACAGACCGTGGAAAGGAGCAGAGGTGGGACAATAAAGAGCGAGAGACACGTAGGAAGGAAACTGACTCCAGGGTCATGCTTGGGGGCAACGCCGAAAAGGGATGGGTTGTGGAGTTGGGCCTTCGAAGCAATTATCACCACCTTTACGCTGTAGGAAATTCTGCCTTTAGCAGAAATAAAACCCCTATTTAAAAACAAACAAAAACCCTGAGATTTCATGACCCTATTTGTTCGCCCTCTAGAGGCAGAAGCTGCGTTCGGAATGGAGCTTTTTGGCGGGTGAGTGGGCCTAGAGCCACCCAACAGCCTGGAACATTCTCTTTCCTTCCATCAGTCAATATCCTGCCTATAGCGCTGCCCTCCCCAATATTTCCCATTACTTAAATAGGAAAGGCGAATTCAACCAAGGATGGGGATAGTGTGCCAAATTCAAAAGCAGAGGCAGGGTTGGCGGCCTTCACTCCTGAGCTGAAGCAGGTAGGAACACCAGGGGAGCTTTTCAACTTGACTTGCAGATTAGAATCATTTGGACAGCCTTAAATACTAGCCCTGGCGACTCCACACCAATCAAATTGGAATCTCTGGGGCACAGGTGTATTTGAAAGCTTCCAAAGTAATTCCATTGTGTTTTGTGGGTGGAGAAAAACTGCAGCAGGTAAGGAAAGATTCACCCAAACTCTGAAAGACATAGGAAACTACAGACTGAGAACCACTGGTTTAGTTTATTGGTTTGCTTTACTTCCTAGATTTACTTAGCAAAGAGTCCAGTGGTTTCCTTTGCCAGGCACTGTGCTCAGAAGAGCAAACACAGACTTGATTTTTGCTTCATGAAATTTGCAGTAGAAGATGAGACAGACATTAATTTGATAGTTATTTGATAACTAAAATGAAAAACAGCAGCCATGTTAAATAAAAGCTATGATAAAGGGTCACATAGTTCAGTGTGAGCCTGTCTAGTAGGTGATCATCGAAATTAGTTGATTAGTTGTTTACTGTCCCTGTCTCTGTTCCTAGTGCTTTACATGTAGAGTCATTTCATCTTCACAATAGTCCCATGAGGTTGTTGGTGGTTGCATTCCCATTCTACAGAGAGGAAACAGGCACAGGGACTAAATCACTTGTGTCTTAGTCATCTAGTGCTGCTACAACAGAAATACCGCAAGTGGATGGCTTTAACAAAGAGAAATTTATTTCCTCACAGTCAAAGTAGGCTAAAATTCAGGGCATCGGCTGCAGGAGAAGGCTTTTTCTCTCTGTCGGCCTTCTCTTTGGTGTTCGTCCGGACTAGGAGCTTGTCTGCGCGGGACCCCTGTCCTTTGCGCTCTGCTACTGGCACTGCTTTCTGGATGGTATGAGGTTCCCCATTCTCTGCTTGCTTCCCTTTCCTTTTATCTCTTGTAAGGTAAAAGGTGGTGCAGGCCGCATCCCAGGGAAACTCCCTTTACATCGGATCAGGGATGTGACCTGGGTAAGGGTGGTGTTACAATCCCACCCTAATCCTCTTTAACATAAAATTACAATCACAAAATGGAGGCCAACCGCACAATTCTGGGAATCATGGCCCAGCCAAATTGATATGGACATTTTTGGGGGGACATAATTCAAACCATGACAACTTGTTCAACCTCACAAAGATGTTGTTAGGTGTTGTTGAGTCGACTCCGACTCAGGGTTACCCCGTATACAGCAGAAGAAAACGTTCCCCGATCCTGTACCATCTTCCTGATTGTTGCTGTGTTCGAGTTCATTACTGCAGCCACTATGTATTTGGAGTGCCTCCCAACCTAGAGAGCTCGTCTTCCAGCACTATATCGGACGCTATTCTGTTACGATCCATAGGGTTTCCATTGACTGATATTCCAAATCCCAGGCCTTTCTTCCTAGTTTGTCTTAGTCTGGAAGCCCTGCTGAAACCTGTCCACCATGGGTGACCTGCTTGTATTTGAAATACCGGTAGTATAGCTTCCAGCATCATAGCAACACGCAAACCACTACAGTAACAAACTGACAGAAGCATGGCGGTTGTCACACAGATAAGGAGTAGTAAAGTTGACGCTGTATACACCCTATCCCAACTCAAAACTTAATGCTGTTAAAGAAAAGCCCCTATCTACCTCTCTGGCTTCCCCTTTCTGCACTCTTTCCCTTCCCTCATGACTGAATGGGGTCTGAGTGGGTGCAGAGGACTAGTTAAAAGACAGATGAAGTAGTCCCAAGAGAGAGTTTCACTTGGGTGATGGTAAGCCAGGATGAGAAAAATGAACAGATTCAAGAGATACTTGGAAGTGAAATCAAAATAACTTGGATTGGATATGAAGAAGAGGGTGTCTAAAATGACCCCGACTTCTCACTTGTACAAATAGACACACACCATTGATGTCTAAATCCTCATTTTCCCAGTATTTAAGTTCTTAATTTTCAGATTCTTCTTTTTGTCTTCCTTCCTTCCTTTCCTTCCTTCTTTGCTTCCTTCCTTCCCTCTCTTGTTCTTTTGTTTCTTTTGTCATTTAAGCAGCAGGCTGTTAAATTCTTTAAGAACAAAACTTCACACAAAATGTTTATAGTTTATATTAAAGGGAAAACTTTTCCAATTGGCACGTTTTTCTGGCTAGATGAATGTTTGTCTCTTAGATTCCAAGATAGTCTTGTGACTTCCAAAGAAGTAAGCTTTTATCATCAACACAGTTTATTTCAAATTTATTGAAAGCAAAGATGACTTATTTTTCTACCTCTTGATCTAGAGACAAGCAAAGACAGGAGAGATTAAGTAAACAGCTGTTAATGAGGTACCCCTTTGTAATTTATAAGGGACCACCCAGTTGCTATGGCCATTATTTGCACATATAGCTCAACAAATGCAGCAGCAGGTCCTGAAAACTTTCCCAGAAGTAAAATTCTGCAGATACGTTCTTTGACTCTGTAAAAGAATGTGTTACTTCCAGCAAAACAACAAAACATCCTGGGAAGTTGGTAGAATGAAAAACACAGAAGTAGCATTGAGTGGAGCGAATCAGTGAGGAGGGGTAGAGAACAGTGTGGAATGGGAAACGCATTGGGAGACAACATTCCAAGTTGCTTTTCACTGGTGGTGCAGGATTTTTGCTTTAAAATATTTAATATATCAAGGAGGAAGTTTGGTTAGCATTATCTTGAAATGTATGTCAGACTTTTAGAATAAAAACTTCCTGATTCTTTTAAACTACCTTTCAATATTTTCTTATTCTAAGTGGAAGTAACTTTGTTGTTTTTGCCTTTCCCAGTGTCTCTAATGTTAAAAGGAAATTTTTCTCTCCACTTAACATTTCAGTATAATTAAACTAATAACTATTAGTTTCCTATGGTTGCTATAAAAAATTACCACAAACATGGTGGCTAAAAACAACAGAAATTTATTCTCTCACAGTTTTGGAGGCCAGAATTCCAAAATCAGTATCACTGACTGGCCCAAAATCAGATGTCCTGGCAGGGCCACTGTCCCTCTGGAGGCTCTAGGAGAGAATCCATTCCTTGCCTCTCCTAGATTGCCTCTTCTGGTGGCTTCCGGCCTTCCTTGGCTTATGGCCATATCGCTCTACTCTCTGCATCTGTGGTCACTTTGCCTTCTTCTCTTCTGTTTGTGTCAAATCTCTCTCTGCTTCTCTTTTATTAGGACACTGATGATTGCATTAGAGCCCACCTGATATTCCAGGATACTCTCCCCATCTCAAATTACTTAATTTAATCACATCTACAGCCTTTTTCCATGGAAGATAACATTTACACACTCCAGGCATTAGGGCCTCATATCGTTGTGGGCCATTATTCAACCTATTATAATAACTGTCTTTTATTATCAGACATTTTACTCAGGAGGATTTGCAGAAGTCCATGCATGATATAAAGAAATAACAGATTAATCCTACCTGTTTGCAAGTTTCATTAAAATAGGAATGTCACATATGCCTTACATTATACTTTGCTCAATGTAAGGTTATTTTCCCCAATCTTGTTCCAGGAAGGACTTAAGTCAGTTTACATGGGTATATAAAATGCAGCAAGATCATGCAAATTAGAAGTAGATGAAATAAAAAAAAAAATCAAGAAAATAAAGCCCTAGGGAAAACACATATAATTATATTCTTTTTATTAATATTGCATAGGAAAATTCTTTCTTGCTTTGTAAACAAAGTATGGTATTTTGTTACAAAACAGTAAAATAATCTCCAACCCCCTCCCCAGAACAACAGGTCCAGTCTCTTATTCTGTAGGCATCAGACTACCCAAAGAAAAAATTATTTTGCACATTTCAGGCGGTATAATCATTTATAAGGAGTCCGTGGGTGCTGCAAATGGTTAAGTGCTCGACTACTAGCTGAAGGTTGATGGTTCAAATCCACCCAGAGGTGCTCAGGAGACAGGCCTGGTGATCTGCTTCAGAAAGGTCACAGCCTTGAAAACCCTATGGAACAGTTCTACTATGCATACATGGGGTTGCCATGAGTTGGAATTGACTCATTGGCAACTAACAACAACAGCAATCATTTATAAACCTGAAACTATGGAATCTAGGTATATACATTTTGATTTATGAATTTTGAGAATATTACTAAGAGTATCTTTACTGTCTTCAAAGCTACCTCTAATAGTCATGATGTATACATTAGTTGAAGTCAGCCATTTGCAGCAAATCATATATTATTACTGAAATTAAAATTCTTATAAAATCTAGTCATACAAATGACAGCTAATATAGTATATTGGAACCTATTTTTAATTGCTTTCCCTAATATACACCTCCTTTTCTTAATTCTCTGGGTAAGCAGCCTCTAGAAAGTTTCTTCAAAAAATTTGTAAGTGAAAGAGTTCATTTCTGTGGCCTATGATAAGATTTGCTACTTAATAACATACAGTAAATAATGAGTATCTACTTCAAAATTATTTATTTGATAAATAAATATTTCAATAAATAACTTGATTACTGTAGTGATATCAAATATTCAACAAGCCCTGCCTTTTGAAAGGCAGCAGGGTATAGTGGCTAAGATCCCAGAATCAAGGCAAATTCAATTTTAATCCTGCCATTGTCACTTATAATTTGTCTTAGTCATCTAGTGCTGCTACAACAGAAATACCACAAGTGGTTGGTTTTAATGAAGAGAAGTTTATTTCCTCATAGTCAAAGTAGGCTAAA